TGTTCTTTCCTCTTCACTTGGTGTGTATGTGACTCATTTTCAACGCAGTTTCCAAACTGCCTCGAGGATGAATCCTGGTGAAACTTCCGTAACACCACAGGTGGGGAAGCATGATCTGTGCCGTGCGCACCCCTCCCCCAGGAGGCCTGGCATCAGGCAGGCCATCTGTCACCTCCAGAGCTCCTGCATGGGAGGCTCTGGGAAGAGAGCAGAGAGCCACTCCTCAGCCTAAAGCCGTCAGAACCCTAAAGGGGCTCTCAGTCACTGCCCTTGGCCCAAGACCTTCGTATCTGCTATATCTGGGGACAAGGAGACAAACCCACAGCTGTCCAATCATAGCCTAGGTGCCTTCTTACACAAGATTAAGCCAGTTCTGGACTAGCTATAGCCTTGCCCAGAACTGTCCGACTCTGGACTCTGGCCTCACGTAGCACAGTGAGCCACCCTGCGAGGACCAGCCTACAGAGAGCCACACCAGGTGGATCACGGTGTGTGGCCACAAGCCCCTCTCTCCCTCAGGCCTATTCTAGGCAACATCTAGCTCCCAGAAGCTTCTGCCCTTGGTCTGCATCGGATGCAGCTCAGTGCTACCTGTGCCTCTGCCTAAGGGGTGGGGATTTGGGGATGGCTGTGGCTGCAGGCATAGGTTTGTCCCCAAGTGGTTCATTTATAAGGGAATGCCGTGGCCTGGGCCCGTAGCAGGTCACTCTGGAACTTATAGCTGCTGTGTGGAAGGGACTGTTTCTGAGTTCACAGGCTGAGGCCATCCTGCTGGCCAGCCAGAGGAGCAACACTCATTCCAAATGCCCTTTCCACCTGGGACAGGCGGATCCTCCAAAACAGGAACCTGTATCTTGGGTAGTGGCACAGCAGACCACCAGTGTTCTCTAAAATTTATTCTAGCCCTTCTCCCACAAATGATAAAACTCCCAAATTTCAGCTGAGCATATGGCTGCTCAGAATAAGGACTCCATTTCCTGATTCCCTAACAGCTTGGCATGTAACTAATTCTGGCCAGTGACATGGGAGGAGCAACCTGGAGCTGCCGCAGCCTCCAGAATTCCTCCTTACAAGAAACCAGGGGCTTTTTCCCATTGTTTCCTCTCTATCCTAACATCTAGGTCTGGATGTGATAGCTGGAGGCTTAGTGACCCTTGTGGACCAAGAGAATGCTAGCTGGGAGCGGCCTGGGCCCCTGCCGCTGTACAGTGACGCGGTCACAAAGCGGCTGGGCTTTGATATCAGAAAGGGAATTCTATCTCGTCTGAGCCTGTTATTTCAGTTCCTCGCTGCTGCACCAACCTGCATGCTAACTACACGGGTAGGGGTGAGGCTGGCAGCTGAGGGGCGGAGAAAGGACCATGTTCCCTTCCAGCTCTCAGTTACAAGAAGGTGAGCTTTGGGAAGGTGGGACAGAGGTGGCACTGACTATATACAGGATGCCAGGTATTCAAGTGAGCCTGGGGCTCCAGGGTGCAACCCTCACCTGTCTCCCTGATGCTCAAGAGAGCAAGTTCTGCCACAGTGGATGCTCTGCACAGACGCAAGGGTCTGCTGGTGACCTGCGCTAAGTGCTCTGCCTTAGGGCACAGGTAGGGTCATCTCCCTGCTCCAATCAGCTCGGAGCCACACAGTCCTGGCACAGCCTCCCCAGCTTGGTCTGTCCTGCAGCCTGGGTTCTCCCTGTCTGAAGGCAGGGAGAGTGCCTCAGCCCAGAGGGAGCTGACAGCTCAGAAAGCCCTCCTCCCAACACAAAAGCAGTGTCACTGGGACTGCTATAATTATTGGGAACTTCGAGGATAATTATGTCCCTTTACAATATGCCTACAAGGGCCACATGCCTCCAGGAATAGCAAGGAGTAGGGTGCAGGAGCGCCAAGCATGTGCCTCCAGGATGGCTCTGCATCTGCAGAAAGGACAGGAAGGGGGTCTAGAGGAGACCTGGCCAGCAGTGCTGCCAGGCGAGCAGTCCCCTGACAGGCAGGAAAAGATCCAGGAAGACCCAGGTACCAGTCACCCTCGAGAGCACACAGGTGAAGACCACTAGAGGCTGTCTCCAACCACATCTGCACCTGTCTAAGACCTCATCCCCTCAATCACCAGTGCAGTCAGTGCCTGCAACACTAATCAAAGATGTGTCTGTCCCTTGCTGCCCTCCCCAGCCAGATGGTCCCAGCGGCACACAAAAAGACCCACGCCACCTCTCCCAACTGCACTCATCACACTGCCCAACGTAGCCCACAATGCCACACCCTCAGTCCTCACCATCCAAGCTCCTGCTCCAGGACATCCAGGGAGACAGCCTGTCTGAAGTAAGCCCTATGTCTTCGGAGCCTCTGTCTCACCCCATCCCGGAAAGACTCCCAGGCCAGGCCTATGTCTCTATCTTCGATTCCTCAAACACAAGAACCCATGGCCAGAAAGTGAGCTCCCTGGAGTGAGAAGCACAGGCCTAATCCTAAGGGCCAGCCTGAGAGGGAGCTCGGCTCGCACAAGCCGTGCACTGGCTCACACAGAGGTGTGGGCGACCCACCTGAGCACCCATCTTCCTCCCAGCCAATGAAGAGGCGAGTAAGGGAGCAGAAGCAGGGACTGAGGAAGAAGAGAAATCTCACCCATGAAAGGAGCCATACATGAACCCCGAGAGCCCCCACTTCCCTAAGAGGTCAGAGGACAAATGGCTATTCTATGGGGCCTGCTGTGGAGTGGCCAGTCCTCCCAAGGGGCTGGGAAAGGCCCAGAGAGAAACCTCTGTGCCCAAGGGAGGTGGGGTCACCTCATTCAACAATTATGCAGGCTAAGACAGTCCCTTTGCCAACCTCATCCTAGAGCTGACCTCTCTCAGGCTCCTCTGGGCAACCCAGCCTCCACACTGCAGCAGAGGGAGCAGTCAGTCTAACACCAACAGAGCTGGGACTTCCCTATCCCTTGGCTCAAAATCCCAGTGTGACTCCTCACTAGACCTGCCCAGGCCTAGTGTGTGTGTGTGTGTGTGTGTGTGTGTGTGTGTGTGTGTCCTCTGCAGCCGACCTTCTGCTTATCAATCCATGCTCTTTCTAGAGCACACCCTCGCCCCTCTGCCACCCTGAGCATACCTGCTCTCTAGACACAGGCTCAATCTGAACACACAAAACCCATTCCTGATTTTTGACTCCTGGAAATCTGACATGGGCTCTATGACCTAATTCAGATGCCTGGGCCCTGTCGTGGTAGCAGGAGCAGCATAGGTATAGCTGCTGTCCCCAGGGGGCCCAGCGGGCCACGCAGCATGCTGAGTCTCTACAGGTGTCATCCCAGTTATCACCACATCTTTCTAGAACACAGGCTGGGCTGGATCAAGTGACTTGTCCAAGACCACACAGCTAGCTGGGGCCCAGATGCAAACCCAGCCTTCATCTGTCTCCCTCCAGAATCCCATGTTTTTATCTCTAGAAAGTCCCTTGGTGGCAGCTTCCCAAACACTTGAACCATCACTTCTAATTCACTGTCAAGGACATCAGATGTGGCTGTTGACCTGCCATCTTCCTCTACCAGCTGGCTTCTTGCATGGAACAGAATTCTCCTGGGACTTACAGTGTCCAACAAACACCGCTGGAATGAGGCTTTTGTTAGAGCCTGTGCTATACTGTTTAGACTCTCGGTCTCCAAAATTATGAGCTAAATAAACTTCCTTACTTTATAAAGGTAGCCGATCTCAGGTATTTGAGTATGGTAACAAAAAGCCAACTGATGCTGCTGCATCTATAAAATGGGCAGGATCATCATGCTCACTAGAGCAATGAAAGAGAGAACATGAAGAGGAGGCTTAGGCACGTGGTGCAGACCTAATCAATGGTGCACCCCTTTCTCATGATAGACAGACTTCCGCTGCCCAATGAGCCAAACTGTAGGTAGAGCCCCAGGCCTGAGCAAATCATTTTCCCTTAAAGTGACATAAGAGCTCTCAACAGGAAAACTAGATTCATACAGAGAACACTGGAAGGTTACTATTAACATGAATTTTCCAGAATTCCACTCACATATGCACATACCTTGAAAAGGCAGTCTAGACTTTTCTGGAGCTTCCCTGCTCCCTACTTAGAGTAGAGTGGGGAAAAAGTCCTTAGGGATCAGAGCCTGTACCTGGTACAGGCCCCACAGCTAGGAAGGAGACTCCTAGCACAAGACCAGAGTGTACCCTAGAAGGCCAGCAGCCACATTACCTATGTGCATTGGTGTTTTGGCTTATATCTAGTGTCCACCCCCAAAGCCTCATGCATTCACAGGTGGTGTTGAGGGAGGTGGCCAGACAATGGCCGTGTGACGCTGGATCTAGGGTGTATGATATTGTGATTAAGGGTGCGTAGTACTAAATTAGCCCACTGATTAGAATCAGCATCATTTTGGGTACGCCTGAATCGATTTACTGAAGAGAGAACCTCCCCCTGGGTGGGGTGGCACCATCCAAAAGGTTTGTAGCCTGTCTGGGAAAAAAGGGAAAGGTTAAACTCACTTCTGCTGCTGTCTCCTGCCCGCCCTGCCATGGACTGTTTGTCCTCTGTGATTCCCCTCTGCCATGCCAGCTGAATATGGACTGAAACCTTTACCAACTGTGAGCTAAAATAAACCTTTCCTCCTTGAACTTGTGGGTGTTGGGTATTTTGTCCTAACAATGAGGATGTAACAAGACAATGGGTTTGGTGAAACGGCTCTAATTTCTGTTTGTCTCCTTTGCCTGGTTACATAGGTCTACCTGCCCTCCTGCCGCTGCCCCCTGCGCCCCGTGTTATCAGGACACTGCACCACCACGCCAGGATACAGCTAAACTGAGTCTTCTCTCTGGTGAGGGCCACTCTCTCAAAGAGCACCTTGAGGCTTTTATTTCCTAACTTTGTGGTCACAGAAGAGAATGGCAGGGCCACCTCGACTGCTCCTGAAGAAACTCAAGGACTCTTGTGCCCAGTGCTTACACAGACAAGTCCCCACACCCCTGCCCCACACTCTAACACGCGTGTCCACACCTTTCATGTAGGCCTCAATCTTCCGGATGAGCTCATAGGATTTGGAGCGGTCCAGCAGTGTCCTGATGGCAGGGAGAGGGTCCAGGATGATGGTCTCTGGATGCGCATCGATGTACTCCTGAAAGGAAAGCACGCTACTGATTAGACAGGGGGCTGGGCTGACATGAGGAAGACACAAGATTTTATCCCTCAAGTCCTCCACGCAGCATCCCTGTCTTGTCTCTCCCCTTGATATGACCTTGGTTAGACCAATCAGAATCCCCAGGCTACTGACTTAGGAGAGGAAACGTGAATCTGAGTCCATCCAAACACAACCAGGCTCAGGCCTCTGGTTAGGAATTCTGAGAGGAGAACCCTCCAGGCCTCACGGAAGGAACAGGGAAGCTGGGCAGCTGCGAGCAGGCCCCAGAGGAGCTTGAGGGAAGGCCTCACCAAGGTGTAAGCTCAGAAGACAGAGCCAAGGGCAGAACAACCAAATTCTAGTCAGGTTGCTTGTCCCTTGGACACAGCCTCACCTGAACCCAGAGCTGCTCTGCGTGCTGATTACACTCTGTGAGGGTGCCCACCCAGTATGCCCTGCGAATGAGGGCTCTAAAGCCAGGGAAAAGGGGAGGATAGTGGGATGGTGACAATCTCTGTGGGGAGCTGTGATGAGAAAAAGAACCAACACCCAGAGACTTCCCTTCAGTACCCACCAGCTTCATGGCAGGCACTATGCAAGAGAAACCTGGACAAAAACCAGTCTTAAAGAGCTTTTTCACCTCCTTAGAGAACCACAGGAAAACACACGTATTTCTGTTGTTTTAAGCCACCCAAGGGTGGTTACGACAGTCCTAGAGAACAAACATCCCAGCTTGCTCCATCCCCCACCACCCTCCACTCTCTGCTCCTCTTCACCCAAGGTGCCCTCCTCGTCACCTGGCCACACACCAGGCTGTGAGGTCAGCAGAGGGCAGAGGAAAAGCACTCACAGTGCCCTTTTCTAGTCAGCCTTATCAACAAGAGGCATATCTGTGATTTCTTTTTCAGGGACTATCTTTTGGCCCTAGTCATCATTTTGAGAGCACCTGGTGAGCAGCAGAGGTTCACACTCACATCTCGCCTGGCATCTGTCTCCCTGGATTCTACACCACAGCATCTGCTTATAGGCCCTTTTGTCTTCTCTGAGTGTTCAGAAACTTCCCCCGCCTCTAGGTGGCGCCAGTGTACATCTGGGAGGCCCAGCACTGGTCCCTATTTTGATGACTTCCTTGGAACTCGCCTGCTTCCACCCCTCAGGTTTCCTCAGGTTTCCCTCACTGCACATTGCACACGTGCCACGGACCTACATGCACAACACAGACCATCCCCATTGCCTCCTTCTCCCCCTTGGAGATGTGATCTTCAGCAGGTCACCTCAGCCACCAATCAATGGGCTTGTAAAGAACGGACCAGTTAACTGATGTGGAACATCCACAGAATGGTGCGGGATGCCCCAGAGGCTTCCTGGGGAAGAATTTATCCAGAGCTGCCTTTGGCCAAACCATCATGCTCAGATGCCGGATGCCCCAGAGGCTTCCTGGGGAAGAATTTATCCGGAGCTGTCTTTGGCCAAGCCCTCTCATCTGGGGGCGCCCACTACTGGGAACTCTCCCCCCTGATACCATCCCTTCATCAGAGCATGTCACAGCTTGGACACATGCTCCTCAAAGGCACGTGTGTTGAAGGCTCTGTTCCCAATGCAGCAATGTTCCAAGGTGGGGGCTCTTGGACCCTGAGGGAGGACTCTGACTCCATTAATGGACAGATCTATCACCGGGTTCACAATCTGATGGACTAGTATTAAGAAGTGAAAAAAACTTCATGGTGGGCCCTAACAGAAGGGAGTGGGTCTCAAAGGGCATGTCCTTGGGCTGTATCTTGTCCCCTGGCCCCTTCCACTCTTTCCCTGCATCCTGGCCACCACAAAGTAAGTAGTTTCCCCCTGTATTGCCCTTTCACCATCATGTTCCGCCTCACACAGGCTCAGAATCAGTGGAGCCAAGTAACCATGGACTGAAACCTCAGAAACCGTGAGCTGAAATACATCTTTCCCCCATTTAAAGTGTTTCTCTGAGAGCAATAGAAAGCAACCTAGCATGCTCTTTTTAGACCAGGTCCCTAGTTCCACAAGAGCCCTCATCCATGAGAAAACTGCCCTCCTGCTCCTGACTCACATGTACATGTACATATATAAATCCCATTACCACCCTACTGTTAGAAGACCAGCTAGACAACAAATATCACGTGCTGATGGGGCTGGGCCAGGACCTGAAAGCACGCAGCTTCTCAACCTCCCCCAACCCACCATGAGCAGCTCGGCATAACACGGAGAGGATTCAGAACCAAGAGACCAAGGTTCTCAGCGTTGCCAGCGCTTTGTGTCACCTTTGGACAAGTCATCAGGCTTCTCTGATCCCTGATTCCTCATCTTCAACATGATAAGTTATGTAGATGACCCCAAAAATCCTTGGAAGGATGACAAGTCCCTCAAGCCTGCCATTTGAAACCCGAGGAGCAGTAGAGGTGGCCTTCAAGGCTGCATAAGGACCACTTGCTAAAGGCACCACAGGACCACATGTCGGCTGCCCTCCTTCACCAAAGGAACAACATCAGAGACACTCACTCTGCTAGGACAGCCTCATTCTCCCCAGCAGCTGAACCACTTAAAATACAGGCATGTACCTTCCTCCCCTCCAAAGGGCTCCCACCCCAGGCCCGCAAGGCTTAGCCTCCAGCTGCTGAGGAACAGAGCTGATACAGTTCCTGGGCATAACAGTGACCTTTAAAGAGAGAACCCAGAATCAAGATGCAAACTTGAGCCAAACTCAGGAGGGAAAGAAGCCACATGAAACCAAAGGAGCAAAATATCTGACAAGCGGGCACCAACAAGCTTTGCAAGTGGGATGAAAGCCTGGCACTCACAGAAGAATCACTCCTAACAGATCCCCCTTGGGAGGGAAGGAAGCAGGCAAAGAGTTTTTCCATTCTCCCTGCTATCCACAAGTGGATTTGCTTCCAAGCTTTTCAGCTTATCTATTGTATTGAAGGCCTCATGCATTTTTCACAAGTCTCTTAGAATTACCAAACAAATTATTGGAAGAAAGGCCCAAACTGTCTCCATGGCAAATGGTAAACATGTGTTCCCTGGAGAGCCTTCCCAGGAATACCCAGAGAGGGCTCTTGGAAATTCACAGTGGGGCCTGGCTTCCTGTACAGCCCTGCGCCAGGATGAAGCGGTGAAGTCCAATGATTAGAGGGGCCAAAGGGGCAGAGACCAGCCAGGTGTCCACCAGACCATGAGCTGCTCCAGGCCTGTGGAATGAAGGTGGCACAGGTACCCGAGCCTCCATGACATTCAAGTCAAGGTGTTCCTGCTGTCAATCTGAGCCAAATGAGAGAACCAGGAGAAATATGAGGGGTACTGTATCCTCTGCAGTCCTTCCAGGCAGGGAGCAAGACACGAGAATTTACTCTCATCTAATAAAGAAAGCCATCAGAAGCCCCAGGTTCAAATCCTACCTCTCTCATATCCCCTTTAGCGGGAACAAGCCACTGGAGTTACATGTCTGAGATTCTGTGAGTGCATTCACATGCCATGTAATAGGGCTACCACAGGGGCTGCTGTGGGCATCTAGGACACCGGGGATATGAAAGAACTTTGGAGAAACAAAAAAGAATTCCTATTATTCTGGAACTTTTAGGCCAAATCTGACACAAGTTCTCTGGAATCACTCTCTCCTGCCCTACCCAATAAACTGGGGATGCAAGCCTTGTGCTTGGGACAGGGAGCCCTGCTGATGCCTAGAGCATGACATGGTCCTCCCATGGCAGCCCAGACCCCGCAGAGGAGGCCAGCACATGGAGAAAAGAGTCAGTCTGCTGTTCCAGGAGGCAGCAGAAGTGCTGGCCTGGGGCACTCGCCCTCCAGATTCTCAGGAGATTGGCCCAGGCTAATCCTCCCAAACCTGTAGTCACCTTTCTAGAAAGTGGTGATTCACTTTTTAGAGATCCATATACAAATAATTTACAGACTATGGTCTGGAGTTTGCTTTAAAATAAGGTGCCAGGAGAAGCACCTTACGAGGAGAAGCAGGGGCACACAGGTGAACACAGGGCGGGCAGCAACTCGCCTGCGGTTCTTCCACACTGTCCACAACACGAAGTGTCCAAAAAAATAGGGAAGAAGCGACTAGATCTTCTTCCACTCTACACTCCAAGTTGGGCCACAAGTGGATTCAAACACCAACACCATCATTCTAGACGAAATAGGAGGCATTTACCCACATGGAAAATACACTGAGAGAGCAATTATGGGAAAATTAACATTAAAAATAATTACCAATAATAATGAAACCTGCTGCCACTCACCAAGGACTTGCGACATGCACACTGATGGATAAAATGGTTTCAGGCACCATCTCTTTTAACAGAAAAAGAATCCTATGAGGTAAGAGCTAAAACTGTAAAACTCTCAGGAGAAAACAATGACAAAAATCTTTGGGACTTTAAACAATGGCTTTTGAGCTATGATACTAAAAGCACAAGCAGGAGAAGCTCACTGGGTATTCTCAGAGTAGAAAATTCTATGGGTGGAAGACACGATGCCCCCACATAAGGGCTTGTGCATGGCCTGCAGGGCAGAGGAGCCTATTGCCCACCCCTGGAACCTGGAGGGACCCCTGGGCATAACCACAAGCTCTGGCAGGTCTGCAAGCACCTCCACTCACGAGTGAGCCCAGCAGTGCTGTGCGAGCAGCAGGGTTTCTCTGCCTTTTGCTGAGGACCCTGAGGCTCAGAGGTTCTGAACAGAGCCAGGCCCCTGACTGCAGCCTGCTCCATCCTAATCACTAGCTCCCCTTCACAGTGGCAAGCTCCACCCTACACTCATATCTGGGGCCAAGAGCCTGCCACCAGGCTGAGCAAGCCTGGGGCCCAGCAGGCCCGAGGGCTCTCCATCATGGGACTGGGAGGCTCTGGCTCCAGGGACAGATTAGGAAATCTCTCCCTCTAGCCAGCAGCTGCAAGGAAATGGATTCTGCCTACCAACAGAGGGAAACAGACCTTTCCCCAGTGAAATCTCAAATAAGATGCACCCTG